TTTTAAGTAGTGAGTGCTTGTTTGTTAAGTGTTAGTTGTCAGTGTTGTGTAGTGGCTAAGTTTAAAGACCACTCCGTGTGATTTCTTGTAGGGAATTAATTAGACAAGTTGGATTTTTTAACGAGCTGAAGAAACTCGCGGTACAATATGGTAAATATGAAAATGAACTCCCAACGCATAATTCAGTCACGGGAAGCTGCCTTATATTGCTTTAGAGTTTAGGGTGTCCTTTTTTCGTAATATTCGTACGATAGGGAGCCAAAGTTGACACCAGTATCCGGTGCAACTTGTGGCCCAAAACAAGAACTTTTAGCGAAACTCCCACAAGAGTACAAATGTCTTTCGTTCATTCATTCTTTGAAAAACTCAGTTGAAGGGTGAGAAAGCACTAAATATCTAGTGTAAGGTCTCTGACGCTGAATTCTTCACATTCTTCAGTATTATCGGATTCGCCTTCGGGCGTTTCAGTTCCAATTCTGATGATTCTTCACATTTGTCGGCTTGTCATATTTATATAATTTTTTAGCTTCGTCAAAATGATAAGGTTGTTTAAATCGGTGTTTTCTTTAGGTTACGAATAGTACGGCCCTCCGTTTAAAAAAGAAGGTTCCCTCCAAGAAAAATTGGAAACTGGATTGATCTCAGCAGGATACAGTTGAACCCTTTTGACCTGCTTTCATTCAAAATTGGCTCCCGTTGAATGGAAATGTTCAGGATAATGAATTTACATCCACCACATTTAAACTTGCATCAAATTATTTCGAAAAAGCAAATAAATTTATTGTTTATGCACAGGAATATAAAGCAAAATTGCCACACTAACCTTTCCGCGTATTATACGAGTGAGCAAAATTGACACTTTAAATTGACTTAAGCTTCTCTGATTGTTTAGATACGACCGAGTTTTCGTTTATAGTACGACTACTTCGAAATGAAGTCCCCGAACATTTTTCTTTCTTATTTAATCTAATATGGCCGCCATTAGTTGGTTACTTGTAACGACGAAGTTAATATTAATTCTATTAGTAACTGTTGGGCATGCTAAAACGTTGCACCCAAGCAGATTGTCTTTCTCGGAATTTTATTAGCCCGAGCATCTCGTTCGTACTTTTTCTCCGGCGGTTTCCACAATTTTATACACAGGATTAAAAATATGGCCCTATTGCAATTCGGCGTTCTCTTGTCGTCGATGAGGCTGGTCGGAATCTTAAGTTCCAAATGGCATGTTTCTGAGCATTAAGTATAAACTGCACGTGACAATGTTCCTCATACTGGCATTTCTTAACCTGCATTCATAACAAACTGTAATTAATTAATTACGAGAAAACCTTGTAAATACACCTATCGACCCGCTATCGTTTAAGTTGAAAGAGAATTAAATGCCGACTGCACCTCTAAATACTTTGCTTACTTCCAAGAATTGGAAAGCAATTTTCTTGATGCATTTCCAGGAGGTTATGAATAAATAAACGTGCACTTATCGATTACCTGTCTTACTTAAGCAGTACAAATTTTTTTCGATTGACGTATTTAATTAAGAGACTTCGCGCTTAATTTTTAGTTGGCTGTATTGATTTAATCAAGGTATGGTAAAAGTTGAAATTAAAAAAATAATTGCTTAATAAAAAAGAACTGGTGAAGATTTGGATTACTTTGAAACTACTAGGCCGGAAAATTACTTTAATAACAATGAAATGAAAAATTATGATGCATGATTTTACTTTTCACTTTTCTTTTAAACTTCGCATCTGTTTTAATAACGAAGCCATCTAAATTTCTTTTGTAACGGCATAAGGCATTGCTCTTGCCTAAAATTTCTAATCATATTATACTTTATAACCTCTTTTGTGCAAGTAAACATTGTTGGTATTAAAAAATCTTCCATTTTTAAATTATGCAATTGTAATATCCTGGTTACGTTCCCTGTGAAAAATCCACCCGTATTTCATTATTCGGTTTTTTACTTCTTGCATTCCTATGTAAAGTGTACGTATTGTTTTCCGTAGAGGTTCATTAATTTAGATATGAAATAAAAAATCCGCAATTACAAACTATCAATATCGAAAGATAAAACTCTACCCCTAGTCTGTTAGCCTGAGGAATTTTGGATCGAGACTAGTCAAACACGCGGTTATTCTTAAAATATAAATTTGTAGTTAAATTAGTTAATTAGTTTGCCTGTTTACTAATCATTAAGAAAGTTTCCCAGAGTGCAGGATAATAAGCTGACATGTCAAAATATGTTTTGTAATGCAATACTGGTGGTACCTAACTAATTTTTGGTAGGTCACGCACATTCCTTTTTATTGCGCTATTAATTTTCAAACAGAAATTATCATAAATTAAATTATACGTGCACGAGATCTTTCACCCTAAGTTTAAAGACGCGTAAACAATTTGTTACGCCAGTAAAACTAGTGTACATCGTGTTTCGTTTCCCCAACGATTTCACCGATTAGTAGTCTAAATATTAAACTACGACGAAATGTTGAATAAAAATTAGTTTTTTTTGGGAGACCTGTGCTTATGTCCATGCTTGCCAAACTTATTAGCAAACGTAACAATGACAGCACAAATAGATTATGTTGTGTTTTAATACATATTTCAATTCAATCATATGTCAGTTTGGCAACATTGCGGCGAGGAACAAGGATAGCGTTATCGAAGAATGACGGAAAATAGGGTTCAACTGCGCCACCAGCAGCACGGTAATCTCCAACGTCAACAAATCAACAAGAGCCAAGGTGAGTGGCGATTTCTGATCTCAATCTCAAACCGTCAGAATCGGTCAGGATATTTAAATCATCAATATAAACAAAAGCAAGTCGGCTATGCAGGAATCCACTATATGGGATCCACTCAGAAACAGATGGACAGAGCCCAACAAAGGCAATATTATCGTCACCCTCACAAGCATCTACTTGCCCGATGAGCCATACCAGGACCTAGAGGAGGAGACACCAATAAGCAAAACTAGCCGCTCCATATGATAAGTTTAAGAGTAGTGTAGCAGGGGGGTTCCTGGACCACTTCAAGGTCGCTCGCTACCTGGTGGTGACCTTGGAAAGTAGGTCAAGGTGACGTGGCTGTGACCTTGGGAATTGGGTCAAGGTGAGAGTTGAATGACCCGTGCTCGGTGACCTTGGGAATTAGGTACGGCTTCGTTGGAGACGTCGCGTCGACGGCGGCCGTTGACGGTCGCCAAGGAAACCACGTCGATAATAAATAACGAGGTGCAGTGGTCCGCCATTGACACTTGATAGCGACCGTCAACGGCGGTCGTCACTCGTCGACGGCTCCAGCGAAACTCTACATGGCAGGGAATCAAATCAAATATTATGGAAGCCACAAGGCATGGACAACTTAACATGGAATATAATAAAGGCGGATGGATGTACACGCAAATCCACAATGGTGGACATCCTTCTATAACCTGTTCTTACAATTGGAATATTTTCCCAAAATATGGAAGACCCCAAAAATGGTCTGGCTTCCTCCTACCTCCTACCGATCGTGGGTAAAATTCTTGATCAACTCCTGGCAAGAAGAATCCAACATCATGTGAAGAAATGGAATGGGGACATTTGTTCCCTGACTAATATCCGTATAGGATTCCCTAAAACAACGTATTTAAAGCTGCCTGGTGATTATTACAGTCGGCCCGTCAGTAAAAGTAACTGAGAAGACCTGACAAAAGGTGTGGTCACCATGTAAGGAGCAAGATGTATATTACCATGTTACATTTTTGTATACATATGCACGAGCAAAAATCCAATCTACGACGATTAGTAAGTAGGCGAGGAGCGTCACGACAAATCTCCGACTTCCTGTTGCAATGATCAGCGTCAATTATTATTGAAGGAGCAGTCTTTCTAAACAGTCAGTGGCATTTCATTAGAATGCATAATCACCGGTTTCACTTTATCTACCCTCGCGGTTAAAGTAACACAGTGAACCGATAACCAAAGATAGTACATAATAAAGAGTAATCAACCCGTCAAGCCTATATATACTTACAGTGATTATTAATAATAATTATACATTTATTTTTATTAATAATAATGAAATTTGAAATTTAGGTTTTGTTATGTTTGTAATATTTCTAATTACTTCTGGAAAAGTATTAAATATCAAAATATCAGCTCTATTTACATTTGGCAATAATGTTTTATTAAATATACAAGAAAATGCTAGGATAAAAGCTCCTCTCCAACTAGAACTAGGTGTTTCTAAATTGTCGTGATATTATTCAGATTATTAATAAAAATTTAATGTGGGATAAAAGATTCATTAATATACGCAAAATTCATCCCTGAGGATCTCCTGAACATCTAATTGTAATAGTAAGTAAGAATAATTCCGATTTTAGAATTGGTGTTTTTTTTTTCATTAACTCGTACAAATATTCATGCCTCAATACGGCATACGGAAGTATATTATCCATTAGTTAAGGGTTATTGCCGAAAAGAGAACGTAGTCAACAATAACCCTGACGCGGCTCAATATACTTAATACTCCATTAAATGCAAATGCTCTTAAACTGCACATTTAGCAGTAATGCAATTGTCTTATTAAAGCAATTTGCATTTTAAGCAACCCGTGCAGCATCTCCAAATTCTCATGCGCTAATTTTCGGAAGATTGCGGAAGTTCACTTCTAATCATTTATGGTGGATTGAGATTGAAAACACGCGTACAGACAGACATATTGACTCTTTCATTGGAAATGGATCGATCGAATACGGGCAGAACTACATTTTAATGAGATTTGTGTACATACACGAGTCGTCATTGAAGTGGAACGTTCGAAGCCAGGCGTTTCAAATCCATTCAATTCCTATACGCGTTCGAAATTCTGAACAATTACTTCGTGCCGAAATAAAGTTACCGAGCGACATGCAAAACGCAAATTAGAATAGATGTCTCTAAGATCTACTGCATATATTTTGCTAAAGGTCTCAGCCGCATACAAGATTTATTTATTGGTGTTTATTTTTTCAGGTCCGGCATTCTGGGGATTGATAAATCCGGAATGGTCACTTTGCAATAAAGGTAGAAGACAGTCCCCCGTGAATCTAGAACCGAATAAACTCCTCTTTGACCCAAATCTGAGGCCTTTGCACATCGATAAACATCGGGTAAGCGGCTTACAACAACTATTCGTATATACACGCTGTAATACAACAGGTTTAATTTGAGTATCATAGCGCTAAAACACTATTTCATTAGCTCATCCTCTTTTGTTGCTAAATACCAATTTGCTTTACGTTTCTTTCTGGCATGGCAATTTAATTTCTTTCTTGTTTTCATAATTTAATGAGGGAATGAGACAAAGTAGCGTAATTAATATGTAGGTATGGCCAGTTTCTCAAACCTTAAACCAAATACATTAGATATTTAGACCTATCATAAACGGTTTTTCAATTGGGAATGTGACATTTGACCACTCACGATAATGAACGCAATTTATCTGGAAAATCGTATTAAAATTCATGTTAATCACGAAAGTGGGCGCTTGGTTACATTTTACATTTCGTAATTTTTTGTTACTATAATCGTCTGCAATTAAAAATTTTGTAAATCAATTTGAGTGAATCGATTCGGTGAATAACATCAACTAAGATGAATTTCATACCAGTGGTTCAACGGAAAACATTGCATCTCAGGTACTGAGACAACCTGATCGTTTTACTCCGGCAATTAGCTCTGCATGAGCTATACCTTTTGGTCTCAGAACCAGTAGGATAGCAATTGATAACAATTACAGGCCCTCTAACGAACGTATATTAATTCAAAATACAATTAACTTTATGAGTAACGACACCCTACAAGAAAAGTGCAAGGACGGCAAAAATAAATGTATCTTCACATAGTTTCTGAAGAATCTAAATAATTTTTGAAGAATCATTCATCTCGACAAACTTGATACAAAACCTAACAAAGAAGTAGGGTGCAAAAACTAAAACTTCTAAGAAACATAATTTTTCTCTATTTTTTTATTTCATTAGTCGAATCTGGGGGTGTTATTTAAAATAATGGACAATGGAAATGAACAATATTTTCTTACCTTGTCCATTCCTATACAAACTAAGAAAAATTGAGTTCTTTTAACAAAAAATGCTAGGGGTACAGAAATCCCAAACTACTTTCATTTATAATTGTTATCAATTAAACAACCACATATAACAACGAAAATATACAATTGGACTCTCTAACAGAAAAAATTATATCATCTACATGATGGATACCCTTGATTCCATAAAAAAAAATTAAATTATATATAATCATTCCAACAAAGGTGTACATAAAGTAACTGTGACTGTTGATAATAAGAACCAAACACAATAAACTGTTTGAAACCAACGAGCGATAAACCAAACATAAAGTCCAAATTACCTTACGTTTTTTGTTTCATCCACAACTGTCAACTTTTATACAACTGTTCTCGGCACACATACGAGTTTTTTTTAACTTTTTCAATATTTAAACGCGCGTTCTGGTCAGATAATCTGTTGCAGTTCTCACAAAAAAATGGTCTAATAATGCACGGGCGTATGTTTTGTCATTTATAGATAACTCGTAACAAACGATATGAACCTATTAACGGCCCTACGTTCATGCTAGAAAGAGACCTCAGTCAACTACTAAAAGGACAAATTCCCATTGTAGCAATATACTAATCTGTAGGGCTTTTCAGGAAAAGTTTGTGTACATGTGGTATATCTATAGAATTTTTTTAGTTTGCACGCACGTAAACGGCGTACAATGACGTCATCATTAAGTATGTTTACATAGCATCATGAAATCATTGGGAGAGAATACGTGTGTAGGCATTTAGGCAACCATACAGACAGTGCTGCATTGTGAGTGGGATACCCATTACATCAACGACTTCCTACTGATCAATTAAAAAAATATATTTTGGTAGTTATTTGTAACATGTCTATGTCGCGATTTTTTTACTAACGAGGAGGACATTATTATTTGAACGCAGACAAACGTTAAAAAAATCATTTTAATAGTTAACGCCCGCAGTACTTAGTAGCAAAAGTGGAGACGCGATTGCAATTTTTTACCCCTATACTCCCGAGCAGAACCACCGATACTTTCATGTCAAAACGTCGGTCGTTTGGCGGCACTTACGAATCTAGGCCGCAGTCGGTGCGGTTCTTCCTATACACAAATGGAAATTAAATAAAAACTCATCATTTTCTGCATAAGAAAAGACAAGAACGTAAATAAACATACGCACGCAACCAGGCGGTGTCAGGGAAACCATCTTCGGGACAAAAACCCTGGCATAGCACAAACACATGAGCTAAATCAACAAAGACAACAAAAGCAAAAGAAAATCCACAAATCATTGCAACAATCTCAACATCTTTCTGCTATAGCCATGCATGTTGTGCTTTAGTCCAGGACAAGTTTTCCAGTAAGCGACTGTGATAACTAACATGGTCCATAATAACCAGCGATGGTTCTTATAAATTTAGTAGGAATTGAAACGTAGGATGTTGTTTTAAAATACAAACGTAAATTGCTTATAATATCTACACAAATAATAATTTAATATCATTTTGCACAGTTAACATAAACACCTATCTACATTCAACCATTCAACGTATATTTCAGCTTACTGTGTTGGATCATGTCGTAGATGGAGTTCCGAATCGCTACTTGTGTGATACCATCAACATCGCTAACAGGTTTTTTATGTTACCTTGTTTTTTAGGACTTTGTAAGGGATTGTTCGATTTAGAAATTTGTGAAACAAAAGTTACTGGTCGCGGGCTAATATTTAATGCATCCGCAACTCTCTGTGAAATGAAACTTGTTACGTATACAAATTCTTATATTATTGAAGTAATCGGTCACCTCTCTTACTGCTGCGACTGGTAAAAGTGGACCACCACTATCTCTGTCTCGTTCAAAATAAGAGATAAGATTAGAAATAAGTTGCTTAGCTTTAATATATAATTACATTACAAATAAGTTGCTTACTTTTTCTTGGTAAACCCGGTGACATTTATGGGTTATACAAATTTGCCGCAGAATCTCGCAGTGAGACTTACGGAAGTTATGCTTCTGTAATTGTTCGTTGTCAAAGTAACTGATTTTTTATCGGCTAATGTAGAAAAACGTCAAATTTAAAGTATCGCAATGTAAACGTAAACTACCACAATATTAATATGTTGGAATTACAATGCTCCCCAAAAACGGAATTGATGACGGGCGTGCAAACTAACGAAAATCCCATTTTACATAACTTTTAACCATCGGCTTTGAGAAGTTTTTTTTAAGTATTTTATCCCGTAAATTTGAATCTTCACAAGAACATACAAGCACTGTAAATTAAATAATCGCCTTTTTTAACATTTATAAAATATAGATCATTAATGAACAAAATCCAATACGAACGATGTAATGAATCAAAATTAAAATTAGTTCTCGTTAAAAAATTTCCTCAGATGAAAGAAAGGTGCCTTTTGAATCCTGATTATGTTTTTTTTTCTTCTTTTTCGTTAATATGTTACTTTCCACGTCTTTTCATTTTGATTAAGTATTAAAGGAGTTAGAGGTTTTCCGCTTCCTTCTGACATCTAAAGCGGCGAGTAACGTTCCTTTCTTATTAGCATTTTTATTTAGTCATTCCGTTCCGAGTTCGTATATTAACACTGATTTCAATCTACCTAGTTCTATTACTCTTTGTTAGATGAAAGATAAAAGTAATTTTTGTTGCAGGTTAGTGGATCCATAAGTAATACAGGACATAGTGTGATATTCACCGTAGATAACGATACACGACATCACATCAATGTGACAGGTGGTCCACTGTCATATAAATATCAATTTCAAGAAATTCACATCCATTACGGTCTTCATGATCAGTTTGGTTCCGAACATTCAATAAATGGATATGCCTTCCCAGCCGAAGTAAGTTGGTAATATTTTCTTACACAAGTTTTTCGTTTTAAACGTAGCTTTCGACCGAAATTTATTACGTTGGGAATAAATTCGGTTTGCGGACTATTACGTAAAATGCCGAATAAATTGAGTTTAAAGAGGCACACATGTCAATAATGATTAATGAATACTCAAAAGTGGATTCATTTCGATCTTCTTTTACATATTTTATTTATTTAGTACAATGTATTACAAACGATTGTTTAGGTAAGGTAAACAACTCCTACTGTTTGTTTGGATGGTGTTTTGCAAACATTGGAAAAATAAATAAACTAAAACGTTTGTTAAAACGAAGCGTCGACCTCTCATGAAATATAATAGAATTTAAACCGCTGAAGGGCTTAAGGTTCAGATTGACTTAAAACTTGGTTCAAGATTTTCTATTCAAGGTGGAACGGGTTATACGTTCAAATGAAAATTTGGATATTTAAAAAAAATGTCTTATACAATGTAGTGTAGTTCTCGGCTATTAGGAAATGGGGGTCGTGCGGCAGGTAGCATTCCATTCCATGCCCGCTCGTGACACTATCTTAGGTTGGGTTAACAATCTTCCAACAGGAGGCTCAATAATGGGTGGTGTCATACAATGTTCTTATAGTGTTTGCCGATTCTTGTTTAATTTTGGGAAAATCTATAATTTTTACAATTAGTTTTCCTACCATTAGCCTTTCGTTATTGTATCGGCCTTTGATAATGCTGCACGCTGTACCGTAGTTACATTCTGTTACTTAACGGAGCTTTATATCTGTGATATTACCTTTGCAAATCCTGGAAAATCATCCAATGCTCGTACCCACTATTAAATACTTATTGATAACTCCTTATGCACACCTTTATTGATAACTTCCTCACAGATAATGTTATGCTACACGTCTTGCCATGCGCATTCATCAATTGTAACTTATTTCTGAGCCCAAGCTTTGCATCCTCCCATTTTCTCGAACCCGTGCTGTATGTACATTGGCGATATACTGAAATTTAGGTTTTTCCGGGTTCCTTATATATGTCCTTGTATATGTTGAATTGAACAGCGTTGGTTTCAAGTTGTGGTTTTGTCCTGTATTTCTTGCAGTAACGATGTTAAATGTTGCATCTTAAACCGGAAATTCACACTCAAGTTTCCAAAGTGGACCGAAGAGAATCTTGGATATTTTCACATTATGAAGATATAGGCAAACATCGCCGCATCTTCTTAATTCGTTGTTCCATGGCCACATTTCTTTTAAAAGTGGATTCAATCTCCTAAATAAAAGATACTTAACTTCATTATAATGGGAAAACCTTGAAAATTTAATTATCGGCTGGCTCAATAATACATTCCCTCAGTTAAGTACTGTTAAAATAAACAGGAAATTTGCGCCATTGGAGTAATTTAGGGGTTCCTTTTTTTCAAAAGTGTACGTAATTCATTTGATACAATAAAAATCTAAAGAAAGTTCTGCCGTACTCCAATGTTACAGTACCTTTTAACTGGTTCAATCGTAATTCGATGTTGCATTGACCTCCATAGTTTCACTTGGAACCCGGATCACATTGGCCGATATACAGAAATTTTCTATATGAATTTGAAATGTTTTACGTTTCCGCCTATCGACTTCTGATTTGTTCTACGAAATCGCTCAACTTGAAAAATAGCGGTGATTCACAGTCGCAATAAGGTGCCGTACCTAAGGCCATTGTGCTCCTCCTAGAAAAAGTTAATATGATAAAAATCTAATTTTGTAATACGTATCTGACCATCAATAGATCGTGGTAAACGACTCTAAAAGGAAATTGGAGCTTGTCAATGTATAAGACAGAATTCAATGTTTTGTTTGGCAATCTTTTAAGAGGTTTGCCGGACCGCCTATAAATTCTAGAGGGAAAATTGTATCTTATTCTTCTACTTTTCCCTTTCACGTATGCTCGTCTTTCAGCTCAATTCGTCACGCACGTCTTCCTCCAATTGTAGTTGTTCGGAAAAACCAATTGCTTAGAAATTGAGAGCTCTTATTCTGGATGTAAATAGTTTTGTAACTGCAGTAAAAAGAACGGAAAGTTATTCGGAGGAAAATTCGATTAAGTGTATACTCAATGTGGATGAAATGTTCAAATGCGCGATATAGAATCTGTTGTGCTTTCTATATACGGCTATGTGGAGGGTTGTCCTCGCATCGTATCAATTTGTTAACGTTCTAACGTAGAGACTTGCTTCACATTTGGTTTTTACTGCAACGTTTTCACATAGGTATCTCCATTATAAGAAGCACTTCAATGAGAGTTGATACAGACGACTTGTGCAATGGTTTAGTGCAAATGACAGAGGTTGACTCAGATGTTAAATGTTATTTATTTTTTGATGCGCAGACCTGGCCCTTGTCACTTTGAGATTGTGACAAGCTACAAGTCGTAATAATTATTTCCTTACACAGTTTATTTCAAGTTGAACCGTTCACAAGCACCTCGGGGTGCCCAAACGATCCATGGAATAAGCTTAATAGGAAACTTAGTCAAATTACATTTTCACCTCATGGTGGGTAATTTTCAATGTGCAATTGGTGTTTAGGAGCATTAACCTTAATAAATTGTAATTCATTATATTCATCCAAGATAAGCATGTGTATCATGGGGATCTCGGAAACCGTGGAGAATACGAAGATGGTCAAATTAGGAAAAAGTGATTATCATGCTGTAAAGAAAATCAGAATATTCTGTGTACTTCCGAAGATTTTCCAGAAAAACCGAAATTTTCCCATTTCGTTTTCATTTTTTTCCGATGTTATTTGACAGACACAAAAAAATAAATAAAAAACACTTTCTCATCCTTTTTGAGCTCTACAAGAAACCGTTGAGAGATTTTGAGTACCTAAACGTTTCGTTTTTGAGAACCCATCAGCTTTATTTTTGTATATGGCTCATGAAAAAAGCACGTACTGATTCGAATAACATTGTTTATTACGAATACAACGATAAAAAAATAAACTTGATGATGATTTCTCCGAAACGAAACGTGTATTTAAAATATCTCCACGTTGTCTTGCAGAGCTCAAAAAAGTGGCAATGAGAAAGTGTCTTTTATTTTTTTGTATCTTCAAATAACATAAACAAATTAAAACAACTCAGCTCAGTTCAGCTGGAAATTTTGGACTTCCAGCTTGCCTCGAAAAAACACCAGTTATGCTCGACTCGAAAGCTCGGCTCGTTTTCAAGCTCAGATATTCAAATCCAGGTTCCCGGATCACTTCTCCAAGATGGATTTATAATAGTTGAAATTTCGCTTATACGTTTAAAGAGGATTTCAAAATTTTGCATGTTTGTAACAAAAGTCTCAAATTGGACTTTCTTGAAATGAAAGAGATTTACCTCCACTATAGGACGAATCCTCAACACTCCCTTAATGAAATCCTTCACTTAAATAAAAATTTGCTTTTTCTTACCAAGTAGTTTCCGACCCCGATACGCTTGTCAGCCCTTCGTTTTTAGTTTAAGTTTACGTTGCCCTTTTTCTGCCTTCAGCAGATCAGGGTTGTTACTTTTGGGCTTCTATTCAGTCCGTGAGTCCCGACGACTACCTTCAGTAGAGACAGGGTATTTTGGCCCATTAAATTTAAATATTTTCTAAAAACAATAGCCTAATGTAAGCTAAGTTACATTCTTTTCACCTTTCTTCTTTTTTCGTCCCATAACCAATCCGGCCCTTTATTCCTTTTTAATTTTCAAATTTTTCAAGTTTCCCGCTTTTGCCCCTTCCCTTCAGTTACTTAACCTGTCGTATTTAGTTAGCACATTTCACATTGCTTGTCAAGATGGCTGTGTCCATCTCGTCTCCTCTAATTTCTTTAATTTAATCAATTGTTTTATAATATGTGAGGACAAAAAGTTTTTTAAATTGTTAATATTGTTATTGTTTCCCATGTTATAAATTAGTAATTTTTCCCGTAAGTATAACTATATTCTAGACTTGTTTTTAACACATGTTTTACAGCATATTGATAACCAAATGTACCATTTTAAAATGTAATTTTCAACCACCTTTATATGTTCTCTTAAACTTAAGGTAGGTCACCTAAGGTTCGTCATTGTTTCAAATTATAATATTTCAGCTTGATAATGACCTTCGGGTCGAAACTATAGTCGCTGTCACCTATGCCTTTATTCTAATACCTGAAATAATTAAAAGAAGTATGGGGAAGGTTTAGTGTCTTTATCAATCCACTTAATCAAGATTACCATACTTAAAATAGTCTTTCCTAAGTGGTCATGTACCGAATGAAGCTAGGATTCTCACCAAGGAATCGAGTTGAATATCAGCCCAACTAGCATTTTCATATGCATGTTCTAATAGTTGCCGAAACGCTTCCGACACAAAAATTATAAAACATTACTCTCAGAAACGTTTTCAAAATGTTTATAAGACAGCTATAAATGTAAAATTGGCACCACTTTATAAAGCATTTCAGTTCTGGTTAGTAATTTTGTAAAAGCTTTTGAAACATAACAAAATTATTTCATAAACATTTCGGCAAATCGTATACAAACTTTAAACAAACATGATAGAACGGTTTTGTTATAGCTTTTTATACGACGCTATAAATTATACTTTATAAACGTATATAAACATTTCTATAAAACAACTATATTACATTTTTATAGTAGTTTCACAGAAACAATATAATATAAAATAAAATAATATAAATAAAATAAAAATGCATATTGGAATTACAATAATAAAATGAAAGTGCTTTTTAATAATGTTCTGAATGCTGCAAACAAGCAATGTTGATTTGGACAAAGGGACTCTCATTTAGAAACTTATTTGTGCTACAGAGAATAAAATTTTTGATGCCAGGGAAATTTTATTGAGAAATATATACCATATATCTAACAAAATTTAAGGGCGCCCTGTATTTTCCAGTGTTTTGGTAAAATTTTTCAAATAACCATCTTCCTCAATATGATAATTTTCTACAGAAAAAGTTGAACCTATTGGT